CAGGTCCATTATTCAGCAGATTTTAACGCAGTGTTTTCTAGAGGAAAAGTTTCTGTATTTTGGAGGTGCAGTAAGAGGCAGTCCGGAAAGAGCAAGACATGTTTGCTGTCTTCATTTTGCTCATGTGTGGTGTCACGTTGGGAACTGTCTTCATTATGTGCTGTATACTCTCTATATAGTTTAATTTTCTCTGCACTTACCCGTATAAAGGCCAGGAGATGTTTAGCTTTAACTGACATTTTTATTCTGCAATCTTGATTTTTGTGGTACTCAAGTTGCTCTGTGTGAATGTTACTGCGCTGCATCTCAGTGTGTTGGCATTTGCAAGTATAAATGTGTCTGTGGTGTTTACATAAATTATGTCTGATTGGGTTTGACACTGTCATAGTTTCTTCCCCCACTTGTTTAATTCTCTAAAGAGGAAGTAAGGAGCTGGAAATGAAGACATGTCCCCTGACACATATGAGAAAACATTTCTCAGAATTTCTGCATGCACAGTCTATATTAATAGTTATATCCTTAAGCTATAAGCACATATAGATACTGTAATATCTACATATGCTTGAACCTTTCCACATATTGTCACATTAATTACAGATGGGGATGTTAATTAATCAGAGCTGATAAAGAAAAATGCCACATGGTTTTAAAGGATGACTGAACCTTAAATTAACTTTTATTTATTAGATGAGATAATAAATAATTTCTCATTTATTTATTAGATGAGATAAAAGTTTCTTTCACACTGCATTGCACTCTAAAAAGTGTTTTTGGCTGATTTTCATCTTATGTATTTATGTTCATTAGGCCTGTCGCGATAAACGGTAAATCAATTAATCGCAATAATTAAAACTATCGACCTCATTTTAATTATCGTCTATATCGTTTCTTCCTGCCTTTTTCTCTTACTGTTGATGACACTGAATGAAAAAAGCCTCAACTCCGGTGCTCTCCACTGACCCTCCTTCCTTATTTCCTTAGTGTAATGCCCAGCGCGCTGCACCATCTGATGTCGCGGATTGTCAAAACCTGAGAGACACATTAGCCGACAGAAATCCTCGCTAAAACGGTTCGATCGAACCGTGTTGTGTCCAACAATGGACACAAAATAATAAGTCCAGTTCACTAATATTGAAACCAGACATTAATCAATTGCTTACTACAATCTTCCTGCAATGCATGCGGCTAGTGTCAGTCTGACTGAATGAAAATCATTATAAACTATTTATGTCACGTTAACGAAGAACAGCGGAAAAGTTTTTTCTGGTAGAAATTTCGCTCCAACTCCTCCTAGTTATTTATATTTTCTTTGCATGAAATGTTGAATAAACATTCATGTTGTTTCCGATGTCTGCTGGACTTCGGGTTGCATCGTGTCAGCTGTTCGGGATTCCCTCCGTGTTTCCCCTCAGAAAGCAGGAGGAGAATCCGCGCTTTCTGATTGGCTACCGGTCACATTCAACAGGCTGCGTCACTCTCCCAGTCTGGATAAATCCTTGATCGGAGCGGCCACAACGATCTACCGTAACACACAAGGGACAATCTCAGAACGAAGAACGTTCTCAGATTGTCGTTCTGGGTAGAAAATCCTGTAGTTTGAACTATTGCATCATTCAGTCGGATTCTTCTCTATTTAAATCTAATTGTTACTGAAGCCCAATATACTATACAGACTTCATAATCTGCACTCTTTTGGTTGAATGCAGTGTTTATTTCCACTTTGGCTTCATGTTGTTTAGTTTTTATTCAAGTACATTTATTGCTAATGGAGACTAAGAATCTATTTTAGTTTTGGTTGTTTTATTTATTTTGTGTATCAGTGCCAGTGTCAAGTGTCTTTTGAAAGTAAAGTGTATCTATCTTTGGCAGGAAATCGCATGTATTATTATGTAATTTCCATTAAATCAATGTAAAAAGGTCTTCAAACAATATTATCGTTTATCGCAATAATTTTTGAGACAATTTCTCGTCCAGCAAAATCTGTTATCGTGACAGGCCTAATGTTCATTAATCTCACATAATTCATTTGATTTATTGATGACAACTTCACTTTTATGTGTTCAATTAATTAATTTACAATGCTAAACCACTTAATTAAATTAAAGGAACTTTTTACTTTAACTTTGCTTGAAACAACTGAGTTCAAAGCCAGTTTTGTGACCTATTTCTGACCAATTTATTATGATAATCCAATTCATTTCATCCAACTGAATTGACTAAAATTTTATAACTAAGTTTTTATAACTTAATTCATTCAGTGTGTTTAACATGACAAATTTAAGTCACTCTTACTTAAATCATTTATTTTCTTCTAATAATTCAAATCTCTTTGAATATTGGCTTCAACTTCTGTGAAGTTGAAGCCGATACCAATTGAAGCAATTAAGTTGGACCAATTAAGAAATGTGCTTTGATCTAAACTCATTTTGGACCAAATTTTGTTGAACCAACTTAATAAATTGAGTGACTATAAGGCCACATAAGGAGACCTTAGTTCTCAATATGGCTGCAGGTTCAATTCCAGCCTGATGATCTTTGTTGCATGTTGTCCCTCTCTGTCATTACCCACTTTCCTATCTAACTACTGTTAAAAAAAGTTCCCTGAGGCAAAACACCCTGGTAAAAAAGAGATCACTTATTAACTTCCTTCTTTATTTGATGTCATCTAAACAATTTGAGTAAGACTGGCTTAAATTTGTCAACTTTGTTCAACTTGTTTCTTGTTAACGAGTGTGTCAAACCAACAGGTTGCTGTGAGTCCATTTGTCCCCTTTACTTGTGGTGGCACTGCATCAAGAACTGCTGAAGGAAACGAAATGAAAACTTTTGAAGAAAACAGAGTGCAACTTTCTTCTTAACAAAATGCACACATAAAATGGATGCCACTTTTGTCTTTGAGCCTTTTCTCCTGTCAGCGTACACACATAGCTTTGTTTTGGTTGCATTTACCCTGAATGCCCTGCACTTTCGGGGGAGATTTGGTTCCTTGGACAGAGTAAAGCATAAAAACAAACTGCAGCAGTAGAAAATGTAACAAATTTTATAATTTTGGTCCCCAATTGAACCAAGTCTACCAGAGTATCATCTGTGAAAACACTGAAATGCATGAAAGAAACAGAAATTCCTCTCCTGTCCTGTGATTCTTTTTGCTGTCCTTCCTCGTCAGGTACAGCTTTCATGAATAGCTCCAAATATATCCTGGATTTGGTCCAATTTTCCATTATCCTGCATTATCCGGTTAAACCTTCCTGTTTGTCACAGACCCCTAAAAATGTCATAACATTGCTGGCTCCTTTTTCAGTTTAAAACATCTTCACGTAGATGGATATACGACTACGGGGCAAAGCTGTGTGTTTAGCATGCGTGCTAAACACACATTATTCCAAAGTGAAGACGCTTCTTCCAGCTTCAACATCCTGTCCCTACACTTTAAATGGAAAAAATTATACCTTTGTGAGGGTCTGAGAGAGGAAATTGAGAAAAAACAAGTCCCGATGAGAAGGGAAGGCAAAAGTAGTGTTGAAGTAAACTCTGCTTGAGGAAAGGATTAATAAGTGACAGATCAACATTTTTTCCCTACTTTACTTCCAGGCAGTATGCACGGTTTTACTGTTGTATACTTTGTTGTGGTAATGTAATTTCAGAGTAGGAGGTATCCAATATGACTAGAGCTGTCACCATAAACCACAGAGGAGCTTCTCCCTAGAATGAGCTCCGGTCTGTATTCCATTAGATCAGCTAAAATCTGCATTCAGACCAAAATGCGTTGTGCGTGCGAAAAAGGTGTGCAACGTCTTAAGTTGGATACACACTTAAAGTCAAACTGTCGGACGAGAGAGAGAAGAGAAGTCTGAAAGTTGTGGGTCTGATTCCACCTTTTTCCAGCCACATTTCAATGTGCTCCTAGGCAGTGGAGGGCAGACCTTTGTTTTAGAGCTTGAGCTTTTTCTTTTTACTAAATATGAAAACATTTTAGTGCACTTAGATGCCTCTAAATTAATCTTTTTGCATAAATTCAAAAGAATAATTTATATAGCTGTCTGTAAACCTTCAGTTGAATAAAGTTTGACTTTAGTATTGAACTTTTAACTATCGACTGTTAAGATTTCTTCAGGTAGTTTATAATAGCAGTTTGATTGTGCTTTTATTTTGAAGTGGGTGATGACTGGTCACACTGTAGTTCTGTTTCCTGCCTTTTTCCCCCTAAAACCTTTATTTCAAACAAGAAACGTAGGAGCAAAATGAAACACAGACAGTAAAAAATATAGAAACATAAGATGTAAACATAAACAAGTACAATATCTAACGGTTTTGTAGAACATGTAAATTATAATATCAAAAGTAAATTGTAACTCATGGGTTGCATTCTTTTAAGGATATATTATTTACATTGAAATTAGCATTTAGAATTAGCTTCCACAAAATGTAACATTGAGGTAGCACTCATTGCAGAACTGATTATCATTTGTGCTTATGGTTAGACTTAGCACAACTATGTTTTAGTAAGTGGTGCTGATGGAGATTATCCTTTCTCCATTTAGGTTCTTAATGTATAAGGTTCAAGAAGAGTCAGTGAGTTTAATTCATCAAATCCATTTTTTAAGACTAAATTGCAGTGCTGGTCCATCTTCATGCTTTCCTTATGGGAGAACAAAACAAAAATAATTTGTCACTTCCTTTAACCTTAGCTTTGTATCTATGTGTGCGTGGGTACTGTGTGCGTACGTGTGTGCGCGCATGTGTGTGTGCGTGTGTGTGCATGTGTGAGCATGCAAGCAGCTAAAAGAAATAGAGGAAAACACAGAATTAGTGCCTGACACTCCCCTGGCATGACACTTACTCTCAAGTTGCCTACTGATCTGGGTATCAGTGAATGGATGTGTGCATGTTGTGAATGTGACTGGCTGCAGTGTAAAACACACTGAGTGGTTGGTATGACTAGGAAATTTAGACTATTTGCTTTTTCCAAGTCAAATAAATTTGTTTCATTCTTTTTGTAGAATTCCTTCTCCAGTGTGTTTCACATGGAACATGAGGAGCTGAGGGAAGTCCTAGATACTCCCAAAAGGTAAGAGGATCCCCTTAGCAGCAGGCTGTCCCAGACTGGCTCTGCTTTTCCCTCCCTCAGAGGCCATTTGATGATAGTTGTCTGACAGACACTTTCATAAAGATTCATTATTATCATATGGAGGGAAATGTATCTTCTTGACATAATATTGAAATCAAAAAGAGAAACATGGAGCAAAAACAGTCTCAGTATTCACAAATGTACTAAACAAGATTCACAAATGGACAGAAACAACATTTTACTTGTTGCTTCAGCCAATCATATGAACAGACCCCACGTTGGGGTAACTTAGTCAATCACATTAACCCATTCCAACAGCACTGTAGCCATGTACAGAAATTTTGGACCTCAGCATTGCTTCTGGCAACGACAGAGGAGCAGTAAGTGAAATATCTACCCTAACATATTTAGCTACTTATATCTTTATATGATTATGATGGGGAAACATTGCCGATTGGGTCAAATTTTAGACTTCAACAGAGGAAGCAGTGATTTCCCATTAATCAAGAGTCCAGACACTCTGGACAAAACAAATAGTGTTGGACTGGTTTTTACCAGTCCATTTCATGCAATCACTATGATTGCATGAAATGGACTGTTTTTCTGGGTTGATGGTAGTGACTGTGGTAGGAGTTTGCCCGACCACCGGAAAAATATGGTAGCAATTCTTCAGTAGAACCAGCTACAACTAATTAGCTTCACCTTCCAAAATTCCAGAAAAATTGCTCATATCTTCGGTGAAATCCTCATAACTTCTTCCATCCATATTTTCTTTACATCCTTGTCCCAAGTGAGGTCAGGAGAGGTGCTGGTGCTTATCTCCATTGAAACATTTCGGGTGAGAGGTGGGGTGACCCTGGACAGGTCGCCAATCTATTGCAGGGCAAGACAGAGACAGACAGAAAAAACAACCATGCACACACACCTAAGGATAATTTAGAAAAAAACAACCTGACAGTCATGTTTTTGAACTGTGGGAGGAAGCCGGAGTACCCAGAGAGAACCCACACATGCACAGGGAGAACATGCAAACTCTATGCAGAAAGACCCCGGGCCGGGAATCGAACCCGGCTGCCCAACAGATGATGGCAGAAGAGATGAAGCACTCAACAATAGACTTAGACAGGATCTGCAGCATCTTGCTGCAAACCTTGTGTCCACACTGCATCCTGAAGAGACCCAATTCTGATTTTTTTTTTGACGCAATGCGACCTGCATCTGATCTTTTTACAACAGTCTGAACAGCACAGGTCAGACTCTTTTCGAATGTGACCCAGGCCACTTGGGTATCCGATATGTATCCGATTCAAATGTGACCCAATGTCCAGGTTGCATTCATCTAACCTGAACGTCAATGATACTGGACAAATATTCCTATCCTGCATCCTGATACACTCAAGCAGGAATGAAAACCACAATCAATGAGTATCAAGTTGCTAAGATGCTCCTCCGGTCAGACAACAAATTCAAAATCGTAAGCTTTGCTCCACCGTTAGCATCCATGTTTACTTCTGCAAACACTGAGCACTTCTTCTTTTTGTGGCAGTTGGCAGAACACTGAGAACGCTGATGTTATTGCGCCCTCTACGGCGCATGTAGGACACGTTCAGGTGGTTTGCCTGTTCACTCTGGAGAACACATACAGGTCGCGTATATTTGGAAGTGTGAATGGCCCTGGCAGAAAATAAAATAAAATCTGATTTGACAAAAAAATCAAAATCAGGTCACTTCAGGCTGCAGTCTGAACGTAGCCTTAGATTCCTCAGGAAATACAGTCTGCTCTGTGTCTTCTAATGCAAAAAAAAACCAATGGAAAAAGGTGAAAACATCCAAACCTGACCTGTGACCTTTCAGTAGCAGGATGTATGCTGTATCACATGGTTAGCTTCCTAAATTTCTGAGACTTTCCCAATGTCTCCAGACATGTAGTGGTTATTGTTTTAAAGCTTATGATTTGTGCATACCTGAATCAGAATGTTGAATGGCACGAATGATTCCTTGTTGGCAACACATTTAAAGAAGCTTTTTATTATTATTTTAAATCCAGGAGTCTTATAGTTTGGTATGAAAAATTCTTCTATATGACAACATTGAGCAAGAGAAGGTCTTTTCTTCCACATCACCTGCTCAGGCAAAAGTTGATATAGAAAATTTTGCAATATAATATAAATGTGGCTTTAAAAAGGCATTCGAATATATGAGAAAGTGAAAACTATTTCCATGGGTGTAAAGTGTTACAATGTGATGTATGGATATTTTCCTCTTTGTGGATGTTATTTGTGGGTACAAGAACAGGGAAAGAGAAAATGATAGTTGTGGAAAACATTCTGAGAATAGCAGAGTGAGACAAAAACCAGATGTCCTTTTTTTGCCCTGTTGTCCTTTAGATATCCTTCTCTTTTTCAACCAGCTGCCAGTGCAGTTTCTCCTAATCTAATAACTTCTGTGAATGTCATTATGTGTTTGTGCTGGATTTCCTCTTGGTAAGATCAGATCCAGTAAAATTGGACATGTCCAACAGGGCCAACTTGGGAGAGGAGGGGTCCTGCAGGATGTTTGCTTTAACCGGCTGCAATCACAGGAGGCTTTTTATAGTGGCATTAACCAAGGCCTGCGGCTTCCCAGTGACCCTCTATCTGTTTCTCCAAAGCAGGAAGTTCAGTCGAGCAAAACCAATGTTTATCTGACTCGTAAGAATCACAGACGGAGCATTTCAAGTAGAAAAAGTTGAACAATTACGTTGCCCTGTTTACAGAGTTGGACTGTCACTTTTTGGGTGATGGCAGTAGTGAGACCTATTTTAACTCAATCAAACAGAGAGAAGGGAGAGAAAATGTGAATTGAGCGAGCGAGCACATATACTACATGCATGTGTGACAACTTCCTTTACCCGTCCCATCATACACACATTGGTTGGATTTTATGCCATTTACTGATATATAAATAGCACAGTGAGCTTCCCTCCTGGTCCACTAGTCACTCTGTATACTGTAACAAAACTCCAAGTTAGCCTTTGAACAGAAACCAATACTACTCAGAAGAGAACCGGATTTGATGCCTTAACCCAGCACAGAGCTGAACAGACTGTGTGGAACCTCCGGTTTCCCCTCACATTCACAGGCAACCAGTAGGGGGCGCAAAAAACCACAAGACAATTACAAAACAAGAATTTCATGTGTATATTCAATACCCGTTACACATGCTCAGAATGTCAATCCGATTATGCGCACTGAATCTAGATGGGAAATAATATTGGATGAGAAATTAGCCTGAGGCTTTGTGTAAAAGCCAAGAAAGAACAAAAAGTTAGAAACTCAGAAATAATGCTTTGGTTTCACTGTACTGGTGCAGATTATTGATGTCTATGTGAAACAAGCTGGACAGTCCAAAATGGCTTAGTGACTTCCAGCTGTGGTTACATTTCTGCTACAATACCAGAAGTAAAAATATGAGGTCATAATGAAGTATTTCTGAACTTACTTTACTTTCATCACCTTAAATGCAACATATAGTATATTATGTACAATTTAACAGAAAAAAAATCACTATGTGTGGAGAAAAGTATAAACATAAAAAAGGTGCAATATTATGATTGCAAACCATTGAAGTAATACTTTGTTGAAACATCATTTGATTTGATGTATGTTTGGGACTCGATGATGCTGAAAAATGAAATCTCTCTTCAGCTTTCTAGCATAATGGTTTCCCACCCTTCATGCTGCAAATTTAAAAGAAACTTTTAGGAAACTTTTTTTTTATGTTTTTCCAAAAAGAGTACAGAATTGTAATCACCCTTTAATTAGAGATATTTAGAGCAGGGCCCGTCAGACTTCAGGATTCATGAAGAGCAGGATTCACAATGTGAGCTGGTCCAGTTCACTGTAAAAACAAACTTTTTACAGTGAAATGAACGAAATAAAAAGGATATTTGGCTATCATGTGTCTGTACCCTGGCAAGAGGTTCTAAAGGTATCAACATGCACACAGGTTGTTTTGCCATCTGTGGTGGCAGAGTGGACTGCTCTCTGAAGCAGATAACATCTTGTGCAAAGGGTCAATAATTTGTTCTTCTGTTCATATGCTGTTCTACTTTAAACCAACTGAATGTTTAGACTTTTAATGGCGAGCTGGGGACATCCAGGGGCTGATGTGTTCAGGATCAGTAGATCCGAGGGAATTAGCCACAGACGGGCAAATTAAATACATTTCAAAATGTCTCTTATAATATGTTTCCAAGGCCTAAACTAAATCCACACTCTGTGATCTCTCCAAATACAGATATAATCATTTGTGAAGATAACCTTATCAGCTTATGGTTTGGTCCATTTGAATGTGACTAAAAGTATTTGCTATGTTGTGTGTTTTCTTCCTCAGAGACTGTGATGTCAGTCAGATAAACTACATGTACGCTCAGTATGTTAGAAACACCATGCAACCTCTCAACATCACTGACGTTACCAAGGACCAGCGCTTCCCTTGGACAGTCTGTGCCTCACACTTCCTCACTTTTCTTTACTTCATTTTTTTCCCCCAGTCTTATTAAGTAATTTCCTTTGTTGTTTAACAGTGTGAAAGCCCCGATCACTCCACCAGTCGGATAAAAAGTTTGCTCTGCACTCCAATCAGAAATGGCAAGAAAGACAAAGTCATAGGTACGGGCCATGTTGCTTTCTCTGTTTACGGGCCCAAATTTCACCATTTTGGGATTGAATCTGGTAGATCAGCTCAAGGTTCTGCAAAGATGAGGGATTTTTAAAATAAATGCCACAGATAAGTTGGAGCATTTAGCAATAACCTCCACTACTCTAAACTCAATAGCAATAAACTCTACTGCACCCATTGACTCTTAAAGTCTCATGACTGAAACATGTCGGGTTTCCCATAGTAGTGGCAGTGAAATGCTAGTGGGGATGATTTGCTAAATTTCTTTGTAAGAACCAAATTGAACAATTTATTTTGTGTGTCTGCGTGTGAATGCGTGCGTGTGTGTGTGGTTGGGTGTGTGTGTGCGGGTGTTCGTGTGTGTGTGCATGCATGTAGGTGTGTGCCAGTTGGTGAACAAAACGGATGAAGCGTCAAGCAATGTCAAAACCTTCAACAGAAATGATGAGCAGTTCCTGGAAGCATTTGCCATCTTCTGTGGCCTTGGCATTCAGAACACACAGATGTATGAGACTGTGGAGAGAGCCAGGGCCAAACAGGAGGTCACTCTGGAGGTCAGTCTTGCTTACCCTGCTCAGATCTAGAAGAACACATTGGACCCTGCCTAGTTCAGTGTTCAAAGATTTGTAAAAGGTAACTCCAAATTATCTGCGGAACATTTGCAGATTTTTTTCTTGAGTAAATACTCAACAGAAAAATAGATATATACTCAAATGTTTGAAAGAAAATGGGAAGCTGAATGACAGTATTGGGTGACATTAAAGCATCCAATCCAGACAATCATTTTCCTTGGCACTGATTGGCTGTACCCCCAAGAATGGAGATAAAATAGGAATGTCACGATCCAAAATAGATATCAGAAATCGGTCCGATGTCACTGATTTCAAGTATCAACTACTCATGATTACTGTGACCTATGAAACACAGGAAGAAAGCTCTGAATAATTTAAAGCAGAGTTAGCTTTACAACAATATTGCAAACCTTGAACATGTCACATCTTGTTGGCAAAATATTTTCTTTGTTTGGGACCCAAAGGGGCAATGGGCCGTCTGAAAGTGGGCTTAAGATCAAGGAGTCTTCATATTTGCAATGAAATGACTTAGGTTGTATGTTCATGTTGAGTCAAAAATGACCTGTTTCTTTAATAACATTTTATTTGACGGGTTGTGAATAAGACTGTCATAAACACCATCATAAATATGACATAACAGCTGTCATGAACACAAGTGAGTCTCCATGAATATTCGGTAGGTTGGCTGAATATTCATGCCAACCTACTGAACAGAGAGACACTTTAAATGCAAAGTTGACATTATTCAAAATGTCGTTATGACAACTTGACATTAACCAAGAAATGATGATTTGATATAAATTTGTTATAAAAGTATTACTGATCAAACTTTAAAAACTTATATACCTCTATGCAGTAATATTTAATATTACCTTGATGCAGTTCACAAACAGGCGTGGAGTGTGTTGATGAAGAAGAACTCTTCCATCATGTGGGGCCAAACTAACACAAATATAGGTTAGTTTAAAACCAAAATTTGAGACAAATGTTTATATTTGCAATTGTTCAAATTGCGTTGTTAATTAATTTGAGTAATTAAGAACATTGTTTGGTAATGTTGATGGGAGGTTTTGTAAATTATTTTTTGACCACTTTTTAGAGCCTGAAAACATCAAATTGAGATTATTTTTCATTTTTGACTAAGTTGTAAGACATTTTTAGTAATTATTTTGTCTCTAATTTTACAAGAAATAAATCATATATTTTTACAAAACAATCAAATGGAGAGTGTGTGCAAATCAAACCACTCGTTACCAGTCACGGCCTTAGTTGGAATTTTTTGGTTTTGGAACATAGAAGGCTGCGACATGGTGCTTGTGTTCTTTACTTTGCTGACGTTAGCCACCTGAAGAACAATATTAGCCTAAAGACACATGGTGGAGAGTGAGGAGGAGGAGGAGTGGGCAAATGTGGCTAATGAAGACATGCTAGGGGTGTGGAGGATGATAATGAAGACCAGCCACCAGAGAAAGAAGCCCCTTATTTGACCAGAGAATTTTTTCCCCCAAGAAAAATTAGGTAAGTAATTTTGAATTACTATTTTCTCCAGGTAAAGGTTTGTGGGCGGGGACAGGTAAGTGGGGAAAAGGGAGCAGGAATCAACTTCCACCTGCTGAGTTAATAAGTTACATTTTAGACAACTAAGCGTTGTCAAATGTAAAACTGGTGTTTAATCTATTTATATACTAATAAACTTCTTGCAAATGTCCATAAGCCAGAGTATCTGGTTGGAATAAATTTTGAATGCTCATTAAGTGAAAAGCTACACTTATGTGCCTGAAACTATACACTAAATGATGCATTCTAAATAACAGGCTGAATGTACTTCTGCAAACAAATATTTGGTTAGAATCATTGTATTCATTCTTAGTCATTGTGCTTCTTGTATTAAGAAATCATTATATTGCACTTTGTAACAACCAGTCAAGACATTTGTCTGCCAGTCTACCATTCTGACAGTGGACAGACAGCAAGGGACATTCTTGGAATAGTATTTAAATAAAGGCTGAATTACAATCACATTGTTTTTTGCTTATTTGTTTTTGTTCCTTTTTTGAAGTGACCTCAGTGAGTCATCACCCACTATGAGAATGTCCAGAAGAGAATCACCACGTTTGAATTCATGAAAAGGCTTTCACCATGATTAACACTGACCACAGTCACTTCAAGAATAGCAATAATTTCTGAGCATTAACAGACATCTTTAAAGATCTGCTTCCAGGAAATGAAGACAAGAAGAAGATCCCTGTTATCAGAGCGTTACAGGAGCGTTAATGAAGGAGATATCTGACTGTTGAAATAACCCATTTTCTTAAGTTAATGATTAAGTAATTCTGTTTTAGTTTTCCATCACTGTTTCAGAGTTACAATATACTGACCAGATGTGAAACCCTCTAAAAAACAAGTAAGTTTTTGTTTTATCCCAATGTGCAGAGGGTTCGTTCTCCAGCTATGATGGTGGTTAAAAGTAGTCCAGTGTTTTCCGCTTCACTTGACGCAAGACTTAATATCAATGACTCTGTTAGCATGGCATATGACATATGAAATAACACTGAATAACATTAATAATTGTTGGTACTTGTTCCACTTGAAGTAAAAGGAATTATTTTACTGTTGTGAAATCATTTCACAGTGTGGTAAAGCTTAATGAAATCTTTAATGTTGGTCCTACTTGTTTTGCCTTGTTATTTCAGGCAGGGGAAATATTAATTACAGTTCTGTCACTGTTTTGTTCGACAGTATAATCTTAATGACACATTATTATGACTACCATTATTACATATTTGACATATGATCTTGGTTAATGTCAAGTTATCATAACGACATTTTGAATAATGTCAACTTTGCATTATCCTGTTATGGACTGATGTCCATAATAGGTTTATGACATTGTCATAAACACTGTCATGTTTATGACAGTTTCATAACAGTCTTATTCACAACACATCAAAGTGTTACCACTTCTTTTAATTATTGTTCCAAATATACACTGTGTGCACAATTCTAATTTAGTTTTGATCATATCATCATTTCTGTGCATTTTTCCAACTCCAAGCTGCTTAAACTTGAATGCTTGTTGAATATGAACACATTATCTGATGTGTATTTGTTTAATGATGGGGTAAGAAGATCAACACACTATATCAAGATGTGTATAATCATTAGGCAGCTTCAGGCAAAATGGGCCAAAAAAGAGATTTAAGTGACTCTGAAAAATCCAAAATTGTAAAAAGTCTTTCTGAGGGAAGCAGCACTTTTGAAATTGCTGAGATATTGGGGCATGATCACACAACCATCAATCGTTTTGCTGCAAGTCGCTAACAGGGTCGCAAGAAAAAGGCGTAAATTAACTGCCAAAGATTTGAAAAGAACCAAACATGAAGCTACAGGAAGCCATCATCTTCCAGTGCTGTCATTTTCCAGAACTGCAACCTTCCTGCAGTGCCCAGAAGTGCAAGATGTTCAGAGACATGGCCAAGATGAGGAACTGAAATCCGATTGCCATCGAACAAGACACACAAGTTGGAACATCAAGACTGGGCCAAGACAGATCTGAAGACAGATTTTTTAAAAGGTTTTATGGACTGATGAGACGAGAGTGACTCTTGACGGACCAGATGGATGGACATGTGGCTGGATCAGTAATAGGCACAGAGCTCCACTTCACATCAGACACGAGCAAGGTGGAGGCAGGGCGCTGGTATGGGCTGGGACTGTTAAAGATGAGCTAGTTGGACCTTTTCAGCTTGAAGTTGGACTCAAAATCAAGTCCTAAACCTACTGCCAGTTTTTAGAAGACACTTTCTTCAAGCTGTGGTCCAGGAAAACGTCTGCATCTTTCAAGAAGACCATGATTTTTCTGCAGGACAATCCTCCATTGCATGCATCAAAGTACTCCACTATGAAAGGCCTTACAGATGAAAGAATAATGAAGTGGTCCCCTTCCTCACCAGACCTAGCCCCATTGACAACCTGTGGGTCTTTCTTAATCAGGAGATTTATGGAGAAGGAAAACGCTTCACATCTCTGATGAGTGTCTGGGAGGCTGTGGCTGTTGCTGCACAAAGGTCAACAGATGGAAACGTGGTCTTTATGACCTCCAAAAGCTGGAGCTACAGTTTGGATCAAAGCACCTTTTTTATTACCATGGCCTAGTCCAGACATAAATCTAATGGAGAATCTCTTGTTAGACCTTAGCTTAATCATATCATCATATAAAATGGAAATAAATATGTGTCTATACAGCACTTTCTCTTAGTGTTTAGGTTTGGCCTTCCTCTTGCATTGTTTCAAGCATGTCCAGTACCTTACAAAAGGATTGGATCGCTTGAACTTCACAACCTTTTGCCGCTTTTCAGGCTTCAACCATAAACATCTAAAATTTTTATTATCTTGTGAAGAATCAACAACAACAAGTGGAACATAGTCGTGGGGTGGAACGAAATTTATTGGACATGTTAAAGTTTTTTAACAAAAAACTGCAAAGTGGGGCATGGAATAATATTGGGCCCCTTTATTCCAGTGCAGCAAACTCACCGCTGGATTTGGGAATCCTGTGCCAGCCATTCTTCCTGTTTTGATTTTAGGAAGTGGCTGTAATGAAACAAAGTGAAAAATTTAAAGGGGTCTGAATAGTTTCCATATCCACTGTATTTCCATATATACAGCATGAACTGCCACATGCTGCTGAACTTGATTTGTCTGTGTCCTCCAGGTTTTATCATATCATGCCTCTGCCACTGAGGAGGAAACCCAGGAACTCCAGGTAACTGCTGTAAATCAACATTTCAAACTGCATGTATGATACAAGCATCAATATGAAACTGGAGGCACAGTGACACGGAAATAAGGGGTTAAAGGTCACAAAGAGCTGACCTTCTGTTTGATGACAGTCATGAAATGTAACACAACTGAATTAGCACAAAGGCTCCAGTAAAAACAGCTCAAAATGGCCGCTTCCTGTTCAAATTCACAACTGGAATAGCAGGAGAAGTTATTTAGCTGCCTGATGCTGAAATAGTTCCCAAACACCCAGAGACTCTATTTCAGGCTTTACAGGCCATAATTAGCTTGCTAACCATGGCCTGTATAAAACAAACTAAACAAGAATGATAAGTCAGTATGAAATTCTCACTGTGTGATAATGTTAAATATGAAAGATAATTTCTTTCATATTTCTCAGCTGGCTTGCCGTTGCTTTTAATCTCTATAACTATACAGTATTTTTGAGTGGCTTGAAAAGTGCTTTATAAATTAAATGTATCATTCAGAAAATACCACAATCATACAAACAGATTTCTGATTAACTATGTAGATTATAAATCACAGCTATCAAACAAAGCAGTTACATTCAGTTGATTTTTTTCAAATTGGTGGAAAAGTTTTCTGTCAAAGGAAACCCAGCAGATTGCATGGAGTCTTTGACCTGCAGCATTCACTCCTCCTGGATGAACGCAGACAGTGAAAAGGAAAACTCCTCGATAACAATTAGGAAATCTCCAACAGAGCCAAAACCTGAATCAGGTTCTGCCATGACGGCCTGGGTCAGGGCCTTTAAACCTGCGGCTGTGGAGCCGTGTGTGGCTCTATGGACCGTCTTCAACGATACGCCCCAGAGGAAAATGTGTGCAAATTATCTAGTTCTTTTTTTTTTAAATTACCAATTTGCCAGAAGAAATGTATCAAGACAACATAAGTTTTGTGGTTCTAAATGAGCTTATATTGTCCAGACTGAGGTCAAGAATGACTCTCTATCTTGTAAAGGTTGCAGACTCCTGACCTAAAGCTTTGAGAAGACAGGTTTGATAAAACATAGCAACACTGATCGAGGAGTACTTTGTATTTTAAAGGAAAGTTAAAAGTTAATGGTAGCAGCTAAACAGATCAGCTCTGAACCTGTTTTAAAGGCTTATAGGCTGAAAAAGAGCAGATACAGTTTGACACAGTAAAAGCTTAGCCAATGAACACTGGAAGTCTGTATGGAGGACCAAAACGGACATAGTTAAAAACAAAAGTAGTAATATATCATTTTTGTTTTTCCTTTTCCTTTACACATGCATTTTCATCAAAAAATTTATTTCTTGAAAATATTTTTTTTCATTTGCCTTTCCTTATGCAAGAGTTTGTTCCTTTTACATTGAATCATCTCCTTTATTAACTTTTCTTTATGCATTTCTGCCTCATTATGCAAATGAGGAAGGCAGTGTCCAGCAGTTTATAGATGAACTGAAGCTAATGACTGCATTAGAAAATAGTGTTATAACTCCTAATTTTCTTATTTTTCCTGTGAATGCTCAGACACAACGGGTTTCAGTTAGCGGTTCTAACGGACTCAGAGGTTCACTGACAGCATTTTCATAGTTTGGACAAAGCAGCCACTGAAGTTGGCTTCTGATTGAAGCTTCAGGCGTCCTCCAAAGTGACCAGCTGAGGTGCAGCAATGAGGAGCAAGTTTTTCAGTACATTTTAAGAAAACTGCAATAATCAGAGGCAACTCTATGGAGCATGGAAGAATGAACTGTTTTTGTTGAAGTTAGAGAATGAGAAGAATAACAAGCCTTGCAGGTCTGCGTCGGAGGCCGACTGACCACCACCCTGACCACCACCCTGACCACCACCCTGACCACCACCCTGACCACCACCCTGACCACCACCCTGACCACCACCCTGACATCCACAGACTCGCATGCAACACACCGCTGTCCATCCGGTCATGCTGCTGAAGTGAACAGAGTGCAGCCATATTTCTCTGCTTTATATTGTATTTCATGGTTGTCTATGCAGTCATGAAGACATGGGAATTAGTTTTACCAGACATTTAAATGAAGAAACTTGAAGAAAACTAGGTTGGTATCATTTTGTTAATGACTTTATGTTTAATACTTACAAAACAAGCAGTTATTTAAGTTTGTACCTTTAAATTTCAATTCCAGTTTTGTATGTTTGTTAATGATAAACATGTTTGTATGCATATAAAGTAAATATGCCTGTGTTCATTTAACTGGTGTATAACTTGTCCAAACATGTATGTTTGTGATTTTTGAGCTACATATATGCTTTAACATCTGATTACTCTTCTCGGTATAGAAGACGGCGGCCCATGGCTGACATGGTGAACCATGAGGAAAACCATCTGTATTTTGAGAAGCACCAGAACTCCGGGATGAATCTCGTCCAGGAGCCATTAGCAGAGAAGAATTGAGCCAGACATCAGAGGAAAAATAAATGCTACCCATCATCTCTTTTCTAATACGTATCGTGTAGTTTGCGTTGTTTTGTGGCCCAGCGAAAGAATTTTGCCTACTTGACTAGCATTAAAACACAGAACATCCAGAAATGTGGTGAACTTGGGTTTGGGAATAAATGGTGAGCATAGTTTGGTCTCAGTATGCATCCAGTCTGGTGTTTTATCTAAAATTATTTTTTGGCACAATCATCATTTTAATATGAATCTTTCCCTAGATGGTTTTATAGCAGCGTTTTATCCCACTCTTCTATATTTGTTTGTGATTTTTGTAGATTTGATTTAAAATTCAGACTCGATCCTCTAGGTCTTGTCTGAGCTGTATTCCCAGATATTTCATGCTCTTTGGGACCCACCTAAAACAATTTCTGCCATGTACGCTTGACTTGTTGTCATGGTGGCATGGCATCAGATTTACTCCAGTTGGTTTATATCCTGATATTTTGGGATATGTCTGAATAGTATATCTTTCCCTGAGGAAGCACAACTTCCTCAGGGAAAGATTAAAACTTCATTAAATGTTTGTGGGACTTTCATTTTCAAACATTTTTTTCACTGCTGATGTAATATTTCAATCTTAAATGCCATGTTTTCATTAGCTATAACTAAGAAGGCAGAAATGGGGGAAAAAAGGAAAAGCAAAGAAAGTAGATGAAGGAATTTAAAAAGAATAAACACTTGTATAAGGAAAAGGAAAAACAAACTATTTTGCTAGATTTGGTCCTCCATGAGACAAGTGTATCAACTATGTAGAAGAAGAACAACAAGCTGATGACCAATGTCACCATCCATTAAGATATTGCAACTAAGCATACCAGATGCATCTTCTATGAAGAGAAAAAACAGAGAACATGAAGTTGAAAGTTAAAATAACAGCACATAATCCAGAATTGCTACAAAGAGTCTGAATCATCTGATCAGACACAAGAAACCTTCATAAAGACCTTATTGAGGTTCTAATGTCATCAAAAACAAGCAAAATGATGATCTACTCCTTGTTAATGTCCAACTGAACACTGCATAAGGTTCACTTCTGCAGTCTTCTCTAACTGATGGGTGTGTGTTGGTGTTTGCAGGTGACCACAGTTCCTTCGGCACAGTCGCTGCATCTGCTGGATTTCAGTTTCAGTGATTTCGACTTGTCAGACACTGAAACCACTCTGGCCACTATCCGCATGTTTATTGACCTCAAACTGATCCAGAACTTCCAGATGAAGTACACCGTAAGAACTCGCCTACATTCTGTATCATTAATGTATTTTATTATTCTTCTCTTCTTTTCCTACATACCTTGGATTTCTTTAATTATATATAATCAATAATGTCAATTGATTAACATTATTAATCAAATTAATCTCACTCTGGTGCTGTAATTAATCACAATTAATCGCTATGCCTAACTTTGTAAGCTTGAAATATAAATATGCATGCAGATGTATGAGCCCCTCATTCCTGCTCATCCCAGTTAATTCAAATGCTATATATATATATATATATATATATATATATATATATATATATATATATATATATATATATATATATATATATATATATATATATATATATATATATATATATATATATATATATATATATATATATATGATGCTATATGATGGATAAGACATAGTTTATTTCCACTTCATTATTTATAAAAGAAATATGTAAGAAAGTTGCCAAAACTATTTTAGGGGCTTTTAGCATATATAATTATTTTGGTAATTCAAACTAACCTAAAACTTGAAAAGTTTGGTCTGATTTAACTTCAGACAGAAAAAACTGTGTATATGTGTTTGAATGTGGTGTATGGAAACAGGGTGTCTGTTCTTAAAATCTTAAATTCACATGTCTAAAAGTAAGTCCTTGCAATGTCTTCAATTCATTTTTTTAAACAATATGTTAATCAAAGGTCTTAAATTTTGTGGCACGACTATTTCATCTCACATTCTATGTTGTCTTTTTTGTTGTGGGACTTTTCTGTCATGCAAATGTTTGAGTCGCCTCTTTTATGCCTTCTCTGTCTCAAAGTAGTTACTGTAGGATTGTTTGAATGAACGAGGTTCTAATGTACTCTTGCTAGCTAGTTGTGTATTATTGCTTCTATATAAACAGGTTCCCTATTTTATTCATTGCAAAAACTATTGACTTTTTTTCTCAGCAGTAAGATCAGTGCATCATAGTGAGTAAATGCATTTTTTTACTTAGTTTTAACAAATAGTGACACTTTTCTATAGTTACATTCATCTGTCTTTTACAGCTATATGCATTCCACTTTATAAGTTGACAAAGGAGCAGATAGCAATGAGATTGTCAAAAGTTTTAAGAATGAATAAAATACAATAATAAAGATGAAGTAATGACAAAAAAAAGGACCAAACTAAAATATGTAAAACAAATAATTAAATACTGTCTGAGGTAAGATAGTGCACACATTGTTCACAATGGTATTTTTTTATGAGTACAAATGTGTACAGTGAGCTCAAAATGCAGAGATACATTTTTAACTGTGTTAATATCAGCAGAAGGTGGCCTCTGCAGTGTGTCACAAAAACAGCTTTGATTGTAGAAAATGAGGGGCTGGAGCAGAGCAGACTGTCTGTCAGTGTGACACCAACACACAGAACTGACTCTGACCACCCAGGAAGCACACTGACTCAGAGTTATTGTACTAATAATAGTACATTATTAGTATTCCAGAAGATTCATTGCTGCAGTCATTCATTCTAATCTATAATAATTTTATGATTACTATGGAGAAAATCAGCCAGAATTTGATTAGCTGAATAATGCTGTTCTTGTGGTGCCTTGCTTGAATTATTTCTGCATACTGTTCCTGATGAGCTCATAGAACAGCAGGAAACAGTCTTCACTCAAACTGCACAAACACCTGAAATAGTCAAGTTTGGTTCACACTGTTTGTCCTGCTAAACACCTTTAAAAATCCTACTTGCTTTCAATTTTGCTTTACTTTATGTGACCAGTGTGGTTCCAATAACATTTTTCCACTGTGTATCATGGATGTTATGCTCTCATATTTTGTGCAAGAAAAAAAGCACAACAAAATGCAAAAACTAGGAACTCTCTAAGGCAATTCAAATAAACAAATGAATGTCGATCAATTTTTAGATGAAATAGCTGTGGTCAAGGCAACAACAGCTTGTCTGTTTTTGACTTTATTGCTCTGAAATGCCTCCTCTAGAGGGCAGCCAATCGTCTCTGGGCGCTTTAAGAGACTGATTGGCTTAGTTCCAATCCAATTGTCATGCTAATATTGAATGAGCACTTAAAGTGTTACATAAAAGAATTTAAAAAAATAAAAGAACATGAATTTGGTGTATTTCTATGAGTTTGGAGCGGATCAACTAGGCTGAACAATTTTGCCAGATGTTGAGAGTCCTCTCATGGCTGTAGATAAAATGAAGTTTGCTAACTAGCATGGATCACATATTTCAGCAAAATGGATAGTCTGCACTTCTCTGCTGCAGGTTTGGAGTTTTGTTCCCCTGGTAAGGCACAGAACCATCTGTGGATTGGGAAGTTTTCTACGTAAGAATTTGTGGAAAAACTATTTTACCAAGAACTGTCTGGTGAAATCACTTAATATATTGTGCAGAATACAGAGAGCTTGTAGGACTAATGAAGAATGTCTGAGTGAAAAGCTCCACCAGGCAGAGACAACACTTGAGTTTCATACCAAGGATAAACTGTCGTCTGGTTCTGATTCAGCTGTAGAAAACAACTTCCAACCTTGTACATGTAACCCAAATAGTTCTTTTGGTGAGAGTTCACAAGAATTTAATATAACATGACTAGTAGATGTTAACTTGTAGTAATTTTCCACCACAATTTCCCTCCTTTTTATAAGTAAATATGTAATATTTACCATTAATTATTCCATCCCACCGATTATATAAGAGGAAATTTCTACAATTTTATGATGAGAAGTGAAAAATTATCCCATACATTTTAAGACATGACATATTCATTCAGTCATTGAAACATTGATCTGTACGATGAAACAACAACATACACACAAGATACAGAAAACCTACCGGCATTCATTCCTTTATTATTGTCACTTCTGTCAGGTAGGAAAAGTTATCCTGCAACCTCTCCTTGCCAGGGAGGCGGTCCTCTATATGTTTTGTCATCTATAAGGAAACTTCAAAAGGAGAAATTTGAAATCATGTATGTGGAAGAACAGCACCAGTGGAATACCAAACCATTTCCTAAGTAATATTTCTAATTGCTTAAATAAGTAATTATTTTAATCTCAAATTCTTCAGTCTAGTGCTTTAACTTTTTTTCGGAAAAGCCAAAAACTACGCCAAGCAAGTGGTTTTTGTGAAAATATTTCCATTGACCTTTTCTAGTCCAATATTTCAAAATATGCAACAACAAAAAAACATTTCTAGAAACAGCAAGAGCCTTGGCTCCTCTAATGATTGTCAAACTTTCACTGCTTCTTTTATCCTCTGCAGACCTTGTGCCAGTGGGTTCTGAGTGTCAGGAAGAACTACAGGAAGAGCGTGGCCTATCACAACTGGAGACATGCACTGAACACGGCACAGTGCATGTTTGCTCTGCTCAAGTCAGGACGCTTACAGGTAGGTTCTGATTTTCAATGATGCCAGAAGCTTCTATACACTCAGCAACATCCTCATTTATTCAGGGCCATTTTCTATAAAGCTGTATAAAGCTACAATATCTATTCTGAATAATAGACTTAGACTTAGACTTAGACTTGACTTTATTGATCCCTTGGGAAGACTCCCTCAGGAAATATTTAATTTTAATAATATTTAATAATGAGAACTGGGTTTACTTGTCCATTACCCATGAAGTAAGAGAAAAGTACATTTACCCCTGTATTTTACATACAGGGTTAAATATTCAGTCCAAAATTATTCACATCAAGATTTTGTTTTTATTTGACTGGCATATTTCCTGGAATAGAAGTTATATTAATGTTTTGAAGTGTTGATCTGTGGAGGGAGTTAGAAATTGGAGTGATGGTAAAGACACCTTCCGGCCTCAACGACTTGTACAAATAACATTCCATGAGCCATCTTTAAAAAAAAGCATAATTTAAAAACTTGAAAAATATATATTTTGTAGATTAAATCTGTAAGATTAAAAATGACTATATTTCCATTGCTTTGTCAGTGTTTGAGAGATAAGTACAAACTCCTTTGCAGAATAAAAATCATTTTATTAGTTGGTTGACTCCATATTTTTTTAATTGAGTTATTTGCAGGGTCTATAATTAATCAAAATTAATCATATTTTAATTTTTAAAAATCCCTATATTGACCAAATAAGCATTTTCAATTTTAAAACCTTTTTCACCAAAGGTATTTATAGTTTTTAATCTGTTCTTTTTCACCATCCGATTGGTACAAAGTGTTATTCTTGGCTTTCAGCTTTCCAGAGCTGATCATCCAGGGAGCTTCTTTAGAAAGGCCGTCCTGTGAATGCTGACATGAGCTGCTGCTCCATGTTGAGACACTACCTAGGTTTGAATAGCTTTGCTTGTAGGCTAACTCCTCGTCGCACAACTGAAAACATAACCACATAAAATCGTGCAGTGGTGTTCACAGCTTAGATAGTAGTGTGCAAAAGTCTTGAGTCATTCTTTGTTTATTTAGTTTTCACTTCAAGGAGTCAGACTGTCTTGTAACATCTGCTCTTCTAATAATTTACAGTATTTCTTTAGGTATTGACTGGTTTGTCACTCATTTCTGTACCGGACATAATAAGTGATAGTAGTTCTATGGAAGTAATTCCATTCCTTTTTGGACAGAATAACCTGAATGACGTGGAGATCTTGGCCCTGATGATTGCAACTCTCTGCCATGACTTGGACCACAGGGGAGTCAACAACTCCTACATTCAGAGGTACAGAAGGAAAGGGGGAGATGGAGGCTAAGCATGTAATCAATGGATTTATAGTGCAGGCTATTGCTATGTCATCATTGTCCAGGAGTGATCACCCACTGGCCCAGCTGTACTGTCACTCTACCATGGAGCATCACCACTTTGACCAGTGCCTCATGATCCTCAATAGCCCTGTATGTATCCTACATACACAAACACAATATCCACTCCAACATCTTATTTGTATAGCATGACTGAGGCATCAAACCTTAACTATTAAAATCTGCTCACATTATATAAATGTACATAAATTACAACCACAGGAAAAGGCCATGACTTTAACAGAGCAACTCTGTTTGTGACACAGAGTAAGCTTGAGAAAAGTTCTGGTTTAGATTGAGAAATACCTAATCAATACCAAAATACCAAATTCATAATGTGACAGGTGAATGTGCAGCAATGGGATTTGTGTGCTGGGACGTTTTTGTAAAGTACCTTCAGATGAGCTGCATTGTGAATTGACGACGTTAAATAAACTATATTGAAACTGAATTAAATTGGGTGTGTTTGTGTGAGTGTGTGTGTCATAAGGTATGAATTTGTATGGATGAGGAAGTGAAGATTTCATTTTTACTATTGACTGTGTCATAGTGTGCAATAATGTGTATTTAGTCAAAATAATTGGAGTCAGCAACATCTAAATCAAGATCGATTGTAAACGTTAAAGATAAAAAATGTCTGTCCTATTATACATTGAGTAACAAGAGAAAACAAAGATGACACCAGATTGAGTTCCAACAATTCAATTGATTCATCACATCGTTTACATCTAGAGACAGTTGATGAAAATAAACAGCTGGTAACAGTGCTGAAGGGGTAAATTGAAATTCAAACTTTCAGCAAACATCAAAATTAATTTTTTCTCCAATGATGAGACATAACCTGCTTAATTTTATCATATATTTATTGTGATAAATTTCTTATCGTAAGAATTTTCATGTATTGTTGTCATGATAAATTCCATTTACGTTTACAATAGAGGCCATCGATTATAATTACCGTATTTTCCGGACTACAAGTCCCACCAGCCATAAAATACATAATAAAGAAGAAAAATACATATATAAGTCGCATTTTTGGGGTAAATTTATTTGATAAAATCCAGCACCAGGAACAGACATGTCATCTTGAAAGGCAATTTAAAATAAAAATAGAATAGAGGCAACAACAGGCTGAATAATTGTACAGTATGCTGACGTTATATGACAAACAACAAACTGAGAACGTGCCTGGTACGTTAACATATTAAGATATGTTATTGATGCTATAGTTATTTGATGCTATAGTTATAGCATCAATAACATGCTAACAAGTTTACCAAGCAATCCGTGTCACTCCAAATCAATAAATCTTCGCTGTCGCTTGTAAACAACTCCGCTAACTCCAGAGGTAGAAGAACACAGGCCTAGAGCGCCCTCTTGCGGTTTAGTGTGAAAACAACATGTGATATCTGATCAAATTTTCTCAAGATGAAGACTGGGCAAAGAAATGAATCATTGACTTAACATAATTTTTTATGTCAACAGATTCCACATAATTGCATTATGTTAGTTGAAAGCAAAACTGATATAGCAATCTAACCTAATGATTTTATATTTAACTAAGATAAAATGAATGAATTAACCCAACTACTTCAAGTCACTTGAGATTGACAAAATGGATGTTAATTGAACTAACTTCACTTTTTTGTTAGTCTGACAAAACAAACACTTTCAGTAAACTTATGTTTTATTTGTTCACTAAACATAAATTATGTTACTTTAACAACTAAAATTAGCTTTCCATCAACCAATGTTTTTTAAATTAATTATTTTCTAATTAACTAAATTCAAGTTTGTCAACAGGTTACACACAAATGAGGCTTAACTTAATTTTGTTATGTTCTTTATTTAACACCAGAGATCTTACGCATTACATTATCTTAACCAGGATAACAGTGACAAGAACATAAACTGACAAACAGAAAGTTACTTTCAACTTCAAAATCAGATTTTTGACAACATCAGGCCTAACCAAGGTCAGAAAATATAATATCATAGAACAATATACAGTGTAGGGTTAGGGTGGCGACAGGGTGGACCAGCACTTGCCCTCTATTTGCAGCAAATTGGAATGTATAAAGGAAAGGTGCACAAATCACTGCATCACAAGCCTGCATGTTTGCTCTTCTGGAAGAGGATATGCGACTCACAACACAAACTCCATCTTGAATGAACAATTATCTCAGTTACCTGCCAGGTCTCCAACCACAGAGCGTAGCATAAAGCCCGGTGAGGAGGAGCAAACCGGGGAAACGCAGGTTTAAAAGCCGAACGTGGAAGCGGCAAACTAACAGCGCTTAGATTGAAACTGAATGACTGTGGTGAACCACTGAACCTGTACAGGTGCTATGTCGTAAAACAGTAGAAAACAGTGGTGTTTTCTGATATGGGCAACATGGGCAATTGCTCCCCCAGCCCACCTCCTTACAACAGAGGATTTGAATGCAAACAGCATCTAATCAGAGGTGTTAGATGCTCCAGATCAGACAGAGATTCTGCTGGTCAATATGCTCTCTATTGTCCCTCTGAAGAAAGTGCTGAGGATGGGAGGAGGGAGGTTTGCTTTTCTCATCCGACATAAAAAGTTCAGACACTACTGCGCTTCCTTCACCAGGCCAGAGGTTTGGAGGGACCAGGTCAAAGTGTAAGTGACCTGTATCCACAGGAATTGACTGTTCCTGACCTGATCCACTGTGGCATCATTGATGAGGAGGGGTGTGTGACTTGGCTGATGTTTCCTGAAATGAACGACAATTTCTTTTGTTTTATTGACATTCAGGATTCGATGGTTTGCATGACACCAGTCCACCAGATATTTCACCTCCTCTCTGTAGGCCAGTGTGTTGTCCTTGATGACACATACGACTGTTGTATCATCTGCATACTTAATGATGTGGTTCATACTGAACATTGCTTAGCAGTCATCAGGGTGAAAATCAGTGGGTTCAGTATGCAGCCCTGGGGGGAATAAGTGCTGAGGGAGATGGCCCTTGTAGTATTTTTACCAACCCTCAAAACTGGGGTCTGTCTGTGATGAAATCCAACAGCCAGTTACACAGGGGGGTGTTGAGCCCAAGGGGAGCTAGTATGCTCAGCAGGTGCTGGGAGACGATTGTGTTGAATGTTGAGCTGAAGTCCAGAAACAGCTCTGGACTTCAGATGATTCAGGCTCAGGTGCAGTGTGGTGGAAACAGCTTCCTCTGTGCAGCGGTTGGAGCGGCAGGCAAACAGGAGTGAATCAAAGAGGAGGGAAGTTTTGAGATGATCCTTCACCAGCCTCTCAAAACACTTCATGATGGGAGTGAGTGTAACAGGCAGTAGTCATTCAGTGATGAATTTGTGGGTTTTTTGGACACTAGAATGATGATGGCAGTCTTGAAGCAGCACAGTTCAGCGAGGTGTTAGTCAGTGAGGATGTAAAGCAGCTGGTCAGCACAGTTCTTGAGAACCAGACCTGGTCAGTCATCAGGACCTGCTACTTATCCATGTTGAGACTTCTCAAGGTCCTGAACATGAGCTGTCTCCAGTTGAGTATCTGTTCACCTGGTTGAGGAGTGGATTTTCTCACAGGAGTGTTATTGAGGGCTTCACCGACTAAAGTAGTTGTTAAGTGCATTAAAATAGTCTTACTGTTCTCACAAGACAAAGAAACAGCCTTGTAGTCTGTGATTGGCCTGATGCCTTGCCACATGCGCCTGGTGTTTGCTGATTCATTGACAAATTCCTGAATTTTCTGAGCATAGGTACGTTGTACAACTCTGAGGTCGTGGTTTAAGTCACCTCTGACTGACCAGAGCATCTCTCTGTCCCCACATTTAAAAACAGTTTCATGCCTCCAGCATCTTATACACCACCTTTGTCACCCAGGGTTTGCGATTTGCCCTTGTGCCCTTGTGATGAGCTTGGTCTTGAGACGTCCTCCATATACAATACTTCAGGTTGTATGCAGACACTGATTTGGCATACTCCTCAACATTGGTGTGATTGTTTGCAGTTACAGCTTCCTTGAACACATCCCAATCTATGCATTCAAAACAGTCCTGTGATGCTGACACGGCTCCTGCGGGCCCAACTGTCACCTGCTTCTCAAAGGGTTTTCCTCTGAAGATCAGGAACTTATATACAGGAATTAACATTACAGAAAGTTGCTGTGGTGCTGCCTTGAATGCTGCCTTCATATTTGTGTAAGCTCTATCTAGTGCAGGGGTGGGCACTCCTGGTCCTCGAGGGCCAGTGCCTGCAACTCTTGGATGTCTCCCTGGTCCAACACACCTGAATCCAATAGCTGAATCACCTCCTAAATGCAGTCAAGTTCTCAAGAGTCCTGCTAATGACCTCATAATTTGACTCAGGTGTGTTGAAGTAGAGATACATCTAAAAGTTGCAGGAGACCGGCCCTCCAGGACCAGGAAAGCCCACCCCTGAGCCTCTAGTGGGTATTTGAGCCTCCAGTTGCAAAGTTCACATGCTGATGGAAATGAGGGAGAACTGTCTTCATATTGGCCTGTTTGAAGTCTCCAGCAACAATGACAACACCCTCCGGATGTATATATTGCAAGTCACTGATGGAGTTGTAGAGCACACTCAGAGCCTCCTTAATGTTGGTACTAGGAGGGATATAAACAGCAGTGACGATGATGATGCTAAATTCCCCAGGCATAAATAAAGGTCTGAATTTCATAGTCAAAAACTCGATGTCTGGAGAGCCATGAGATGAGACCTCATTAATGCACCAGCTGTTATTAGTCTAGATGCAAACGCTGCCCCATCTGGCTTCACCACTGAGTGCTCTGCTCCTGTCCAAACAGAATAGTGTCATTCCCACAATGTTGACAATGTTATTGGGAATAGAGAAGTTTAGCCATGTCTCAGTTAGAATTATGGCACAGCAGTTACTCATCTCACGATTTGATGTTACATCCAGCTTTTAGTCCATTTTCTTCTCCAGAGACCGAACGTTAGCGAGCAAGATAGATGGGAATGGCGTTCTCCTAGGGTGACGCCTTAGCTTCGCTGTTAGTCCCTCCTGGCTGCCAGGCTTGCGCTTCCTTTCACAGTGCCTCCGTCTCCTCCAGGTATTGTGTTGGCTGGTGGTGACATTCACTGCTTCATTGGTCACTGGGTCTGGCTGGTATCATAGTCCAAGGCTGTCCAGAGTTTCCAAAATTTCAGTGACCACTGTCAGGATATGTGCAGTTTTAAGATAAACTGATGATCATTATTATGCTGGAGGTTTTCAGCTGTATTAGTTGGTATGAAAGCCTTCCCATACCTTAAGAGTTCAATGTTTTCAATGTTCATGTGGCGTTGCAGCCACTGCCAAACAGGGAGTTACAATGGCAACAAGTATTTGTATTATTATGCAATTCATATGTTATTAGTTAACAATAGTCTCAAAAAGGCAATATTATTGTTTATTGCAATAATTTCTGGGACAATTAGTCACCCAGCAAAATTTGTTATTGCAACAGGCCAAGATATTCTTAAATATTCAGTTTTATGTGTGTTTGGTGAGTCAATGGCAAAAGAAAGCAAAAGTAAAAAACAGACAACTTAAAATTGAAAATTAAATAACTTATGTTATGACTTTCCTTTTTTGATATAATAATGAGGATCCATCTGAAAACGGTATGGGTTTATGAAGTAGGAATTCTGTCTGTTGCTGTCCTCGTTTATATCAGCTACAGCCACAATGTTTTAAATAAATAAATACATGAAATTTAACATTTATTTATTGTTCTGAAGCACTTTGGTCAGCTGAGGTTGTTGTAAATGTGCTATATAAATAAACTTATTTGACTTGAGATAAACTCCAAAGTTATCAAATTTCTTTAGGTCAGAAAAAAGTTTAGTGAAGTAGGTCACCTATGCTAGCTTGACTTTGACAGCTTTAGCATGTAGATGTGCTGCAGAATTCAGTGTGCTTTTGTTCAGTTAAAAACAAACAAGGCATCCTACACATTAAATCTCCGATAGATCATCAGTAAAGCAGGTGTTTAAATTAGCTGAATTCAGACTTATTAACAATAGCAAAATGAACATTAAACCTGAAAACATTAAACTGTAACAGATGAAATGTTATGTTCTTTGTGTAGGAAATACTTGCTGAATCCTGACTGACTAGCGGAGCAGTTGTCAGTCAGTTGCTATGGTAACAGGTCTGTGTGTAGCTTACCCAACAGAGAGAGTGCGAAAAAAGGAGCATTCGAGTGGTTCAGAGTTGTTCTTCAAAGGTTTTGTTCTATTGCAGCAGTACAGTTGTGGATGGCAAGTTAAAGAGTAGACTTTTTGCACTCCAGCGTTGTGCTCCAAATTTCCAGATGTAAACAATAACATGTGACATGTTTACACTCACAGTTTTCTCTGTCCAGGGAAACCAGATCCTCAGTGGTCTCTCTTTGGCAGAGTACAAGACCACTCTGAAGATGATTGAGCAGGCAATACTGGCCACGGACCTCGCCCTGTATATGAAGTGGGTACCAAAGAAAACAATTCTATACAGGCCAGAGGGAGGTGTGCTGGGTAATTTGGTCTTAAGCTAAAAACATTCACTCAGTCATCTGAAAAGTTTTCGCTCCCCATACCAAGACATGTTGAACAGTTTTATAATCCCAACTTCATAAGAACAGATTGAGTATGGTCACTTCCTGTTCCAACATGGCACAACACCAGTGAACAAAACAAGGTCCATAAAGGCAAGGATGAGGAAATTAAATGCGGACGAACTTGAGATAAATTAGAGCAGAAACTGTGAGTCAGGCCAACTTGTCCACCATCGGTGTCTGACCTCAGAAATGTGACCTGGAAGAAAGGTCAAAAATTCTATAAACACTCGTAAAACCTGTACAAAACTTTTCCAGAAAAATTGAAGATCTTGTAAAAGGAGGCCTGACATCTATAGATTAGGAACAAAATGTCACTGAAGTTTATTTGTGGGTGAAGGCAAACTAGGAAATAGTTTAAAGCAATCTTGTGTATGAAGGTTTACTAAAATATTAATTACTGCTTTCCATCGCATGTATTATCAGAAGACGAGAAGAGTTCTTTGAGCTGACCAAGAACAACCAGTTTGTTTGGGAGGATGACCATCACAGGGACCTCCTCAGGTGAACAAAAAGACTGAAATTGAAAGAAGTAAATAAACTATTTACAACAGGGAGGTGATTAGTTTAACAGGGATTAGTTTAGTTATTTCTTATATTGTACAACATTTTAGCCTGAAATCTAGTTGTTCATGTATAGGTTTTATGTAAAACTGCAGAAATAAAATCTGGATAAAATTTTTTCTTCACAGAAGAATCTGATCTGAAAAGTGTATTGTGCATTTGTATTTTACCCTCTTTTTTCCTGATATACCTCATTAAAAATTTAGGTCAAATATTGGATCAAATATTCTTGACGTTATGTTTCTACCATCATTTGACATTGTGGTTAAGGACTTTTAAGAACTACTGCAAAGTTTCTACTGGAAAGATGACTTTGATGGACAATATTTTTATATGATGTCCCTTCGTCTCCCTCAGGTCAATGCTGATGACTGCATGTGACATCTCTGCCATCACTAAACCCTGGCCAGTTCAAAAAAGGGTAAAAAAAAAAACAATAATCTTCTCAGATTTACTTTTGTCTATTTGTTGTGTTTTATTTTCCTTAGCTCACCTAACATTGTTCTAAATGCTGCTTTCTGAATGACAATGGATGACTTATTCTTTCTTGTCATTAGCCTAATATTCATTAAGCTAAATAAGAAACTTCATAATTTGCAACATCACACTGTAGAAATACTCAATGCAGGCTTTCAGTAGTTTCAAAGTTGCATATGGCGCTAAATTTCAAAAGCTCAAATAATACTTGAATCTCTGATGGCTTTTTAAACATATAGTAGTTAGAAGACAATTGAAGTGGAATAACTAGGATCCACATTTTTGTCTACAAATGTGGACAAAAACTAACCTGAGACCAAGTACAAATCAAGACCACGGTATCTGAGACCAAGACAAGACCAGAATCTGCACTAATAATATTAGCTGACATTAGCTTGTGCACAAAGCTGGATGGTAAACAGCTGACAAGAAACAGATACTAGCGCCCTAAAACACACCACACAGGTAACTTCAATTCTATAGCTGATATTCACTGTATCTTTTCGTGTGAGGGCCAGGTAAAGAATTGCTTATGTTAGACAGCGACCTTTTCTAGCATTACCTAGCTTACCTTACCTTGTGCTTTTCTTCTAAGTGACGATAAAAGGCTGACATAGTTCCCACCTTCAGAATTTACGTGTTGCCTTCTCCTTGATTTTGTTTCACAGATATATTCTTCATGATTTATGTAGCTAAATTGTATTACCACAGATTTTGCAGACAACTTCTATTCACAAATAAATTGGAGAATATTCTAGCAATTTAGTGATATTTCCACAGTGGTGTTTTTGACTGGCCTTGAAATAAAATCCAGAGTCCTCAATCTCAACATAAGACCAAGTACAAATGTGGACGAAAAAGTGTTCTTGAGACCGGGACCAGTCACCAGCACTACGGCACCAAGACTCTTTTTTTCTAGTGCAAGTACATCATAGAGTGACAAAAAGCAAACTGGGGTATTGATCAACAAAATACCTGTGAACCAAATAATAGAACAAATAACAGCAAGAGAAATCAAATAACTGAAAAAGAGGACAAAATAAAGCAAACACAAACAAACAGGGACTAGCGTCAATGGCAGCATGACTTATATTATCACGCAGTTAAAGATGTTGAGTCCCAAACTGATGAGGAGTTAACCACTATAGAAACAGAGAAATGAAGGCGGTAACCAGATGACCCGTGAACTTCAGACTGCCTGGCTCCTGAAGCCGGGTGCACATATGTGACTTCTACCCCCACATACAGCATACTGCTGAGCCTATCCCTGAGCCTAACCCTGAGCCTAACCCTGAGCCTAGGTAACACTACTTATCAAATCAAATCATTTTTCAAAGTTTTAAATGCTTCCTTGCACTCATCAGTCCAGTCAGATAGGGACAGTTTAACCTGACCCTTTTTGATTTTGGGTTTGTTGCCCCAAGCTCAGCCACAAGGCTAAGGAGTGGTTTAGCTTTGACAGAGCACTTCCCGATAAAGTGATGATAATAAAGGACCAGCCCAAGAAAGGATCTAATTTTCCTGGCACATGGTGTCTCACCATCAGACTCTATAAGATCAGTTTCTTATACCTCACTGATAGCCTGAACTTTACTAGGATCAGTGCTTACACCATCCTCACTTATCACATGACCCAAAAATTTCACTGACCTAGGAAGGAAGTGACGCTTTTTTGGAGACAGTTTTAAGTTATTTGCGGCCAGACGAGAGAAAACCATCTGGAGCTGATCAATCGCAACCTGTTCAGATGGGGCAAAGACCATCAGGTCATCCAAATAACATAGCAAGCTAGTGAAATTTTGATCCCCAAAAATAGACATCATCATTCTCATAAAAGTTACTCTATACGGGGGTTTGAGATGTAGGTGAGAAAATAGAGTTTGTTATTTTATTGGTCTTGTCCTTAGCTGTCAGACCTGCTGCAATTGCTGGATTTTTTAAACAGTTGTGATGTCTAATTGTGTTGCTAATATATGGCAGGTCTTTTATTAATATATCTATGCAGTTAGATCCAGCCAGGAATGGAAGTGATGGGTTGAGTGCATTTATTTCATGAGGCTTTGTAATTGGTTAGCTCAGTAGTAATGGTCAATATTTAGTGCTTCTAGGCCACCTTGGAGTTTTAACTGTTGCACCAGGATTAGCAGAGCTTGCCAACTGCTGATGGCATCCAGGACAGAAATATTGTCTGTGTTGCCCATAAATTGACCAGCGAGCATGTCATGACCCTTATGATGCAACCAGCAACAGCCTTCAGATTCAACATTTATTGAGCTGTATTTTTCTACTGAATTTGAATTTGAATACTCCTATTGCAGAAATAGACTGTAATATGTTTCAGGTTCTTTGCATTTAGTTTGACTCATACAGCTGATCACCTTCACTGTCCGATTTAAATTTTGAGCTTTTTCACTGCCTCTGACCTCTATATCTCATAGCTGTTGTGCCCACACAAACATCTGTAATTCCATTGATTTACTATCAGCTTGTATGCTGTTAAGTCACCTGTACAGATGTTGGATTCACCTTTAACCTTTGTTGACAGCAGTTAGGCTGGCTTCTTCACCAATGTACAGAATCTGTCTGACAGCAGCTGAGCTTCCTGTGTTGGCTGTTTCCTGTTTTTATTTCTTTTAGCTCTGATTACTCAGTTAGCTGACAGTGTAGTCCTTATGCACTCCGAGCTGTGTCCCTATTGTTTCATCTCCCTGGTGCTCTTCGTTATTCTGCTCCTCATTAGGAATGGAAGGCTCAGAGGGAGCTCAGCACTTTGACATGTTCTTTGTGTTTCCATAACTGAGTGCTCATTAATAAAAACAGCTGTGGCCCCCATCATTAGATTGCATCTCTGAGGAAAACATGCAATGCAATAAACATGCATACACATGCAAATGATCGGTAACATGGAAACGGACAGACAGGATGGCATTTTATGTGGGTCTTAGTAAGAAACATGTTACATCTTCTAGGACTAAAGGAAATGGTTTACTTTAAATTTCTTAGCAAACATTACCTTATGTTAAGACAGACTGAAAGTTTGTCTTAACATAACTGAAACTATAGTGTATCCTAATACAATCTGGAATTGCACAATACTTATTTTGCAATGAACTGTTTAGACTCCAGTAGACATTAGCAAATGAAATAAATACCATGTGATCAAGCCCTCTATGTAATTCATTTAGTTCAGCTGCTCTCTACATGGGGTCTGTTTGCAACAAACCCAAAGCAGATAGACATTCCAACAGTTTATTTGTCAGTAGATATTTTGATTGAAGTCAGGGCCCAACATTCATCAACATTATCAAATATCGCCCGGCTTTCCTAATATTGCCCAGCCTTAATACAAAACTGAGGGCCACGCATGTCAATAAAGGCAGAACTAAATTTTGTTTTTGCGCTTTTGCTAACTTTGTTTATTGCACTTGGCTTCCCCCAAATCTATTTTCCAGATAAATTCTAAAGTGCTCATTTTTTTGGCTGCTAGTAAACATTTAGTTGAATAAAGTTCAGCATGCTTTGCTCTTTCAGTTATCAACTGTTAAGATTTTTTCAAGTACTTAGATGTTTATATTCATTCTCGTACTGTGAAGTGGGTGAAGACAGTTTACACAGCAGTTCAATTTCCTCTTCTCACATTCTCTCTATTTTGTATCCAATAACTTAAAAAATATATATATACAGCAATAAAATACAGTAGAGAACAAAATATAGACAGTAATATAATATCTAAGGGGATAATAGGACACGTAAATTAGACTTAATGTGGATGTTCTCCAAACTTGATTGACTGCTAAATCTATCTGTAAATCTCAATGTTTTGATGCAGACATGGGAAGGTGTTGCTTTCACTGACACAAGTAAATAAAGACTTCCTGGATGTTGTTTTTTCTGAGTTCTAATAAGATATTACTCAGCCAGAGTCCTGCTGCTCTGCTGCTGTGGGGCTTGATTACCTGGAGCCCTGCAGGTGGCGTCAGTATTCGCTTCCACAGTGTTAAGAAACCTTTTTTATTTAGAATATCATTAAAATGCCAGATGTGACGGATCATCATAACAGCAGCATTAGGGGTTCCCAGCTCCAAATACTGGAATAAGCCTGAAAATGCAGTTGTATTCATTTCTGTTTCGGCTTGTATGTTTGTGCAGTCAAATGTTGACATTGACTTTTTCAGATCGCAGAACTTGTGGCCACTGAATTCTTTGAACAGGGGGACAAAGAGCGTCAGGAACTGAACATTGAGCCTACTGTAAGAAGACAAATATCAACATATTGCAATTTATTCTGTCATATAAGTTAAACTGCCAAAAAAAACTACAACTTTTGCTTGGAATCATTTTATGCCTTTTACTTCAGGATCTTATGAATCGTGAGAAAAGAGATAAGATACCCAGCATGCAGGTTTCCTTCATTGATGCCATTTGTGTTCAGCTATATGAGGTAATTTGGACCCAAGTGTTTCTGTCTTTTACATCTAGTGATCTAAATGACTTTCAGACAAAAGCCACCCCGTCATTTTCTGTCATTGGTGTTTTCACAGACCTTGGCTGGCTTATCAGAGCACTGCTGCCCTCTGCTGGAAGGGTGTCAGAAAAACCGGCAGCATTGGAAGCATCTGGCTGAGGATTGTGAGAAAGGCCTGGTCAATGACCTGGTGTGATCCAACTATAGTTTGGCTTCTGGAAAATTCCAGGATTGCTTCCTGTGTCTCCCAGACTTACTAAGCATTCATCAGATTAGTATGGTACTACAAACATGTTATGTGGACTATGGGACTTTAATCATTTCTGAAAAGGGAAAGCCACTGTAAAGTCTCGAATGTTATGTGGTTCTCACCAAGCAGATCTTCCCACGTCTGTCACTGCAATCATGCTGTCTTCTCAAAGCTAAACGTTCTGGTGTGTTCCATTTATCTTGGAAGTGGGATCTAAGATACGAGAACATAGGCGTAACTTCCTGAAGGCCTGGTGTGGACATGTCCCCACACAATCAAGCAAAGAATCTGAAAAAAGGACACAGTGCTTTGCTATTAATTGAAAACTCTATGACAGCAAGATAACAAGAGCCAAGGAAATCACATTTTGTATGTCAGTTAAAAGTTTGAATTACAACAAATAATCATAAAAAGTGGGGAGCAGGTTAACTATGCTGTAGCTGAACTTTGACAAACTTAACAAACACAAGCTGCATAGTTCAGTCTGTTTCAGTTCAGTTGGCACAAAAATAAGGCGATCCACACATCTACTTTATGACAGATTATCAGTAGCTAATCAACGGTCATAAGTGTTCAGGCAATTACTTTTTTATTGATCGCAAAATAAACATCAAGCCTGAAAATTCAAAAAACAGAAACCTGTAGCAGACTTATTGTTCTGTTTAGGGTTATATATCTACATCCAGAGAGAATATAGTTTACAAATCCAAACATCAGCAAGATTTGGCATCTTTAATTTAAGCCACATTTCAAGAATATTGGTTCAGCAATATGGGGACTATGACCATTTTTGTGACAGATTCCTGCGGTGAGGTGCATTGCTGGTGAGGCACTGACTTAATCATAATCAGATATAGAAATGTAGACCTCCAGCATGTTTACATGAGGACATTTCACACACGCAGACTATCATGCCATCTATAGCCGTGCTGCCGCAGTAGAATCATTTTAACTCAATGAAACTTGGAAATGTAATGATGAATTTTATGCTGTGCTCCACAGCAGAGGGAAAAACTGTTGAAGTACAACTCAAAACCACATCTTTCTCACACTCTGCACAACTGACAACAACCCCTAAAGAAAAGACGGAAATATTTCCCACACAAAGAGCAAAACATCCAGTCTGTTATAGTTGTATGGTTTTAGGCTTGATGCTCATTTTGCGATTATTAATACGTAACTGCCTTGGTAACAGAAGAAAACTCTAAATATATGGCTGCACTTTACTGTATGGCTAGCTCGCTGTTACTGTCTCTTACTCTGTGGAGTCACAATGTCTGGGATCATGAGCGCCCCCTGCCGTGAGGCAGAAGAACTGCTGTTACTGTCTCTTACTCTGTGGAGTCACAATGTCTGGGATCATGAGCGCCCCCTGCCGTGAGGCAGAAGAACTGCCTGCCTCACCACGAATCTGTTCTCTGCCGTTTCTGATCGCTCCTCAGCACACGAAACACGTTCTGCACACAGCTGGTGACAATAAACACTGTACATTATATTATATAAGCTAAAGTATGAAAAAGCTGTTCATACATTCAATGTTTTTTAGCCATTTTATTGGCGACATACAGACAGGAGAAACATGCTCCCATAGAATGGTTAGTGAGATAGATGTTGATCAATCCAGGTGAGGCTCAGCTCACTGTTGCCTCACCAGCTTCGCTTCCAAGTATTTGAATAGGATTTTTTTATTTTTTAAGAAAAAATAATCAGAGTTTGTTAAGCTAAATAAAAATAAATACTTTACAGTATAAACTACAGGGTGTAAATAGCAATATAAATTATTTTATCATATTTTTCCGCTATGGCAAGTGAGACTGTGCCTCCCTTGCCTCTCCTGACCGCACGTCACTGGATTCCTGCACATCCTGCATTGGAACAGTAAGTGATTTATTTTGTGGACATGACTAACAGGTATCAACGGGTCACTGGCTTCAGGGGCTAATATTTGATGTTCCATGCAGTAGTATATATAAAACATAATATAATTTCCCATTGGGATTAATATAATTTAATTTAAATTTGAATTGAATATATCAATGGTCCCTCTACAACCCAACTTCCCCAACAAGGCCCAAAAAAGTCCCACTGAAAATGATGAGCACAGAAACAGATGTGACTTGCGGTGGCAGTTTCTGATATGGGCAACCGCCCAGGGTGGCATTTTGTGGGGGGCATATGAGTTGAATTTTGTATACTATAGGCAAGCATTGAGCAAATATACAGACTCATTCTATAAATTAGAATACAACTATAAAGTTATAAGTTATAACCCACTTACACACCTGCTGTGCAGAGTGTGTAAGTGGTGTGTGAGATGTAAATGCACACAACACACATAATTCTGTGTTCAAAAGATAAATCACTTAACCTTCTATTTCTCAGTTCTAACTTCATCTATAACCTGTCTGGGGTGTAGTGCCAAGCTGCAGCAGTGCAGACTAGAGGCTGGTTGTACTCTGGACAGGTTGCCAATCAGATCACAGAGCAACATGGAGACACAGGGCAGTCAAACATGCACACACTTCAGGGGTGGGCAAACGTTTTGGCTCAGGGGCCGGGCTAGCACCAGATGCATACATATCAAACATAAACATAGAAAAAGCATCACAGTTTTAATACTTACATTCACTTTTATGGTAACAGTGTTGTTAATCTCCCTTTTTTGCCAGTACATCAAAGTCAGGTGTTAGTGTTGTGGTAATTCTCAGAACAGATCTGAGTTTTTCATCTCTCAGCTGAGCTCTGTGAGTGTCTTTGTTCATCACACTAAAAGTCTGTTTACACATGTAAGTAGAGCCAAACAACACCAGCATTCTCTGTGCCACCTTCTCAATATTAGGAAATTTGGCTGCACTTAATGAAGCATAAAACCCACAGAGTTTAACAGAGCTGAACTTCTGAGGTGTCGTTTCAGGGTGTTATGTGAAGGGAGATGAAACTCGCTGCTATTCTCAGCACGGAATGTCAATGCAAGGACGACATCCTTGCATTGACTGGTTGTTATCATAATTAGCCTGGTGTTGTATTCTTTAAAAACAGCAACCGTTTCTTGACAGATAAGGCATACAGCTTTTGACCAGACTTCAATTAAAAAGTATTTAGTTGTCCATTCCCTATTGAACACTTGACTCTCACCGTCAACTTTTCTTCTCTTTGGCCCACTCACTGTTGCAGAGTCCACAGCAGCAGCAGAGTAATAACAGAGAGAAAGAAGTCCTAGCTCCACAAAATCAACTGCTGTGTCATGGCACCTAAAGCGCCCCCTGGTGGGTGCCCTAACCCTAACCCAGGCATTAAAGGACTGGACCAAATGAATGAGTCATGATTATGATACGGTTTAATTTGGGCAATTCTGTACCAACCTTCAGCAGGCCAGATTAAAAAGACCAATGGGCCATATGTGGCCCGGGGGTCGTAGTTTGCCCACCCCTTACACACATACTTCAAGATAATACTAAGCCGGAAAGGCCGGAAGAGAGCGTCCGACACCATCAACGTCAAAATGTCAAAGCAGAGAGCAACAAACGACCCTCTAAACTTTTTAGATATCTTGTTCATACCACACACAACACAAAGGTTTGAGTCATTTATACCGTTTCACTCACACTCATTACTGATGCATATTTATTTTGTTTTTTATATTTATTCCAACTTCTAAGATCAAATGGAACACACAGTTACAATATATGGACACGAATGGATCAACAAGGTTAATGTTGATTTGTATGGCTACAAAGCAATAATGAACATGTATACTGATTTAATGGTAGTATGGTGAAATGTCCCTTTTAAAACTAAAGACAAATAACAGAATGGAAATGCTTATGTATATTCTTACTTGAACTAGGCCAATAGCCAAAATTTTGCTGATTCATCAGGGTTTAATTTCCTGTCATCTGTAAGGCTTAATCCACTTTCACAGCAGGTGAGTCTCAGCATTAACATTGTCCCATTGCCTGATTATTGCACCAGGAGCTCACATAATCCAAATTGAAACTCCCAGCAACAAACTGGAGACAATGATGTACACATCAACAACTCTCAAATCATTGTTGGCAACACTTACATTGTCTTTCTCTGTCATTCTCAGGAAACATTATCAAGTGTAGAAAGGAGCCTCTTAGGCTCCTTTCTCCTTTTGGATAGCCTGCAGCCTATCCAAAAGGCTGCAGGCTGCAGTGACCCAATTCCAATTGTTTTTATTTATCTTTTTTTACATAATGTATCTATCTTATGACAGTCTGAACAGCATAGATCGGATTCCTTTCTAATGCGACCCATATCTGATTCCTATGCGATTCAAATATGACCCGACGTCCAGGTCACATTCATCCGAACTGAACGTCACTGATACTAAAGCTCCCTATTCTGCGCCCTGACACGCGCAAGCAGGAAGAGAAAGGACAACCATGATGGACTGAGTGAGGGTTAAGTTGTTAATATGCTGCTCCGGTCGGACAACAAACTTCAAACACTGAGCATTTCTTCTTTTTATGGCGGTTGGCACAATGCTGACACTATTGTGACCTCTACTGCACATGCGGGACACTGTCAGGTAATTTCCCTGTTCACACATATAGGTCGCATATGTATGTGCAGTGTGAATGGCCATAGCAAAAACATCCAATTTGACAAAAAAATCAGAATTGGGTCACTTCACCCTGCAGTCTGAACGCAGCCTTAATTTTCTTTTCTGCGCTAAGTGACCTTAACCGTTAAGTCTCACCTGCACATTTATGGTCATTATGGTGGTTGGACACAGCAACATACCAGTGGGATAAACTTACTGTATACTATCAACCATGTCATAGATGAACGTTTTAGATATTTTTGTTCATACCACACACAACACAAAGGTTTGAGTCATTTATACCGTTTCACTCACTGTCATTACTTATGCATATTTATTTTGTTTTTTATATTTATCAAAGTTTCTGCTGTGCAAGGCGTAGCATTTCTTAGGAGCACTCAGTTATCATAGGAATTGTAGGTTCGCTAATAAACTTGCTTTACTTACTGGACTTTTGTAAGAAACAACTGACCAATGAGATTTACTCAGTGTGTTATATCCATATGACAGATACATTTATTTCCCTCAACATTTTTGCACATATTTTTGAATTTACTTATTGTTTTTTTCTGCCATAACGCCAGATTATTCACAAAAGGTTTCTAACAGGCTATCTGAAATAACAGAAAATGCAGCTTGGGAAACTGAAATACCTAGCCACAATGCTACTTCTCACATTATCCAAAAGCACCATTTATTTTCCTTGGTTCGCTCCTGCTGTAGTTCTAGGAAGGTTTCTGTTGTGTGCAGTAATGCATGTTAAGGTATGTTTGGTGTTTGAACTTTTGAAATTGGCTATTTGTGTGTTTATAGGGCATCTCAAATATTTGTGGATTTTAACTATTTGTCCCCAAGATCCATGAGTCGAGGGGTTCACTGTAAATTATTTCTACTGTTTTCTCCACAGATTAGGGCACAGATTTGCTTATGTACCATACTGTAACAAAGGCTTCCAATAGAATCAGACTTTCCAAGTCTCAGACCAAAGGCTTCCCAAATATTCCCTTCGCTTCCAGAAGTTACCTTGCTGGAAAACATGTACTGACAAAAGCAACTAAACACCAGGTCAATTAATTTTATGACCAGCTGTTAGAATATGCTCTCATCTTAACTTGTCTTAACGGTAGTTATTTTGTGTTATGCATTCATGTTTCCTAATTTACTTTGAAAAGTACAGCTACAAGTTTTGTATCCTGTCACTGTCTGTTTATGTGCATGTTGTACTGCTGTTGTCCACTGGAGGCAATGAGAGCAAGTTCCTACATGTAGGCAGCACTATTCTAGAAGAGAAGAAGTTGAATACCTGGATGTTAGCAATAAAAATTAACACAGCTATCTAACGAAAAGAAGTGTGGTTCATTGTGAATATGAGTACCGAACAAGAAAAAGCAACACCAGCTATTGGTAATTCAACATGTGGAGGGAACTGGTGTGAAGTGCACAATTCAGAGACTGAGGTCCAGACAAAAGTCAGGGAGCAAAAACAATCTTTAATACATCTGCAGACGGAGAGCAAAAAATCTACTGCATTAGGCACAAATTAGGATCCGCTCTGAGGAACCCAGAGTTTCATAGTTACTTTATTCATCTCTCTTTACTACCGAGGCGGAGACTCGATCTTCTAAGACCAAACAAAAGAAACAAAGGAAAACATACGAAACCTTGTATGCTCATTCACTGTAGTGTTTACGGGAGGTGAAAACTAAACACTCTTCTCCATGCAGGGAAGGCCAAAAAACAGCGAGTTCCCAAATAACTGTCTGGGAAGTTCAGCAACCTGGAAACTTACTGCAGTAGACACATCTTGGTTCATTAGTTTGTACACCTTTCCCAGCTGCACAGAAAAACACCTTGACTATGATTCAAAAAACATTACATTTATATGACACATAAAGGAACATCATTTAATACGAATAAAACTTCTTCACACTGGTCACTCAAAATAGGGCAGCAAAGGGCCTCGGTGGTGGCATCACACAGGCTACTATTGTGCCTCAAAATTGAGTCCCATAAGGATAAAAGTTAAATTGCATGAAGGCTTTTGTCTGGTTTTTGAGAGACCTCACAAACCAGTTTACAGTTTAGGACGACACACATATGTGTGTTTCTCAAGTTTCTTTTCCCAGTTTTGAGGGATTTCTGTGACAATTTATAATGTGACACCAACAAACAAAAAAGTGACTAATATGTTTTACTTCCTCTCGCAGGTGCTGACTCTGTAACTTATTG